TTCATCGTTTAACCCTTTAGTGATCAACATGCCCTGGAAATATAGACTTTCAAAGTTTCACTATTTGTAGTCAAAGTCTCACTGTTTCCATTACTTCTTGTATTATTTGCATATATTATGACAGAGTATACATGGTGGATTGAACATTGAGAGCCGATATTTACACGGCTGGTGTGAGTGGGTTGAATGCTAAAGGTTTAATATATGTGATTAATATTGTTGTGACCAAGTAAATGGTTAAAGAAATAACAAAACAAGTGTTACAGATATGGCATATATTAAACAGTAAGTACAACAGAAGAGTATTACACGACTAGTGAGTGTGTGTCAGTTAACCCAGCATTCAACCTATTCAACTGTTCCCCCAAGGCCTTCTCTCCTACTAATCTTATAGTAGGTGGAAGAGTCCAACATAGACTCTTTAGAGGGAGGACACTACAACAAATATTTACCACAGAATTAAGTGCGCTGACAAAGAAGGAGATTAGGTGTAAAAATATTTGTTTTCTATATAAATTAAATGTTTTGCCATCATTAGGATGTGTACTCACTGGTTTAACTATCACATATCTACACACATCCACTATATTGGCATGTAGCTAATATAAAGGGCTTCATCATTTTAGTAGAAAATATTCATAATTCTACTTATCTGTGATAGTAAAGATTATATATTGGCTTCATAAAGGCCTTCATCTTGACACATTATATGCATGGTGACTTTTTAAAGTTACTATAGTTGAAATATATATACAAGTCATCCAGGCCCTCTATGACCATACCACCAGTTCACTTGAGTAACCAAGTGGGAGACTTCTTCCAAATGACTATCGGTATTAGACAGGGATGCCTACCCTCTCCAACACTCTTCAATCTGTTTCTGGAGAGATATGCAGGAAATCCTCCATAATCACAACATTATCAATGGTAGACCTCTCTACAATCTACACATTGCAGATGACATTGACTTCAAGGCAGGGTGGGTAGTAACTGGGCTGCAAGATCTGACCAACAAACTCGACACCTATGGTATTGAACTCAACACAGAGAAATCCAAAGTAATGGTGAATAGCACAAGCAACACCATTGACACCATGGACGACAAACCACTTGAACAATGTAGAAATCTGCACACGGATTGCCATATCTAGAGCAGAATGGAAATGATATGGAAGAAAAACTTCAGTTTCCATACCAAGTTCAAGCTCTAAAAATTGCTGATCATATCCATCCTCCTCTACAGTGTGAGACTTGGATACTCTTGAGTAAGGCAGAAAAAAAGGATTCAGGCATTCAAGAACAAATGCTTGAGAAAGCTCTTTCCCAAACCTCCTATGGGAGCACAAAACCAATGACTATGTAAGAAGTAAGGACAAAAAAATCTCTCCTCACCACTATTAAGTATCAGAAAATGTCATAGTTTGGCCACATCGTACAGCAAAGACCATCCATGCAAGACACTGTTGAAGGTGGATGTAATTGGGTCAGCAATGCAAAATCTGGTCAGACAACATAAAAGAGGGTATGGACATGACAATGTCGGAACTCCTGAGGGCCACTGGCATCAGATCATCCTGGAGGAGGTTGTCTGTTTCTTCTCCCCTTAGGTCCTCCCAATGATTGACGCAATCAAGGGACGGTTGATGATTAGGATATTTGAAAAATGTGTGCTTTATCTATCATTAAATGGGGGTATATATGTGTTACGATGTTGATTTGGGGTTATTAGAGACAAACGCCAAATAACACGTAACAATAAAAAGGGTTTTAATAGGTTGGTGAAAAGGTACAGAAATCGCCTGAGTAGTCAATAACTAGCTCAGCTGAGAACTTCTCTGTCTATCTGTCTTCTCCCATGTCAACTGACATGCCACTATTTAAAGTCTTTGTTCGCAGACAAGTTCATCTTCAAGAGGGGTGGTAGGTTTCCGACACAACAATATGAAAAGTACTTAGCTCAACACACTTCCCTAAAATTTAATCAAACATCAGAAATATTTTTGATAGGACTATTTGATTAGGCTGATAACTTTTCAGCAACCTTTCATAAAACCCATACATTTTTATATATCACAAATTCAAACAATTGTACATGTTTTTGCAGAACCAGTTTATATATCAGGTTTTCAGCATTTTATTCTGTTCATATAGCATGATTATTCAGTTATTATTTCTGGCCACTGAAAGTACTGAAAAATTAAAAATGAATAGCATAGATATTTTCTTAATTTCCTGATTTTGATTTAGTCCAAATGAAAAAAAATACATGGGATCCCAAATGTTTGGAAAAGGTTTATATTTCTTAGATCTGCACGCATATTCTCTTAAATGTAAACAAGTTAACAAAAATTAAATAGAAATAAAAATATCAATGAAAAGAAACATCTTTGTTTATAGTCTTTAATCCTGTTTGAAGGACCGCCTCTGCATACAAACACACCCACATAATTGGGTGTCAAACATACTTCATAAAGAAGTTAGTTAAGCTAAACTTGCTGACCATTACTATTACAATGAGTTTGAACTTCATTCAGTGATCTAGATTTGTGGCCTTGTGCCAGGTTATCAAGAATAGTAATACTCTAAACTAAGGTTCAAATTTTGCTATATCTCAGAGGATGGGTCAAGGTAACTATCACTTCTCCCTTTAGGCTTGGAGAGAATTTAATCACAGCCTTCATCATCTTGTTTACTTGTCTCTATCATTCAAACACATATGGGTCATTTTCCTGTATTTGCTTTCATACTTTTAGCAAAAAGTAGAAGCTAGAAGATTTATAAAAAAATAAAAGAAATAGGCAACCAAACCACTCCCAGAATAAACTCTGGCACAATTATAAACAAAACACTCACACACAAAGTCATGAGATTAACCAAGTCAAGAATTTGTGGCGGAACTTGCAATCATTTAATTCTGACACCAGATAAATGTCTTTCCCCAATAAAAAATATGACCTTATGATAACTGAGTGAAAACAAAACTTTTTAGTTCAAAAGAAGCTTTTCTTATTGGCTCTAAAATAATTGCTTATTTGAATTTGGATTTGCTTTCAATTACTACTACAAATTTAATCTAAGCTATGTGAATGACCATGATTGGTCTTGACTTAAGTTACAAAAAGCCAAGATGACCAACTCACTCCAAATTAGAAAAAGCAGCATAGATGGATAAAAAACACAATTTTACTAATTTGAAAATATGAATTAAGCAAATGCAACTTGTTTTCTTTACAAATGTTTAAACAGTTTCCAAATATGCAGTGTATTTTTTGATGGTTGAATGAAATCCTAATGAAAAACACATTTAAAAAATTCTTGTTTTAGGTACAATTATAGGAGAAGAAGGATAAAAGATGAAATGGAAAAATATCATATAGTCATAAAATAATTGAGGTATTTGATAGCATATATCACCCCCAGCCCCCGCTAAAAAAAAAAATGACAGTAAAAAATATCAATATATGAAAAATGTAACTTCTTTTAATGAGTCAATATTTAGCTTTTATTATTGGACACTATTGAAATTTCCTGTTCATTCTCTGCTAAAATGAGTTAACATCAAAGTAACAAATGCTTTTATAGTTCGATAATAAATTAAGAAATTTTGAGGATCAATCTTATACATTTTTTACTTTTATTTCCTTTATCTTAATATTATTTACTTTCCATTGCAATTACTTTTCGACCATAAAATTATGGCTAGGTGAGCACATTCATATAAAAAAATGTTCTTAAGAAAATTAATTAAAATTAATAACTTCATTTTAAAGGAAAAGTAAAGCTATTTATTTTAAGATTAAATGGCATTTCAGAATTATCTTTTAAGATTAACTTCAACTTAAAAATTTAACAACTTGACAGGCAGCAGAGTTTAATGTTAGTGTAATTGTTTACAGGCTTTTTTTTTTCAGTCTACTATGCTTGTGAATTTAAATCTCATTGTGTGCACCACAATTGTAGCCTTGTGCCAAACTAAATTAGTATGATGGCTGCCTACCCAGACATGATAAACCAATTTTCTTGTAGAGTTACTTTACTCCTTACTTCATGCTCCACTTGTGCAACTTTGTTTCACACAAAGCTAACTGAAGTAAAAAAATGTTGCCAATTTTAACACACTTATGTCCTTATGCCAAAGTAAGCTGATATTAATATTTTTACTACTATTTCTTTCATATTAATTTCTGTTGTTTTTTATCACAACTGCTAGATTGTTATTAAACAATCATTAAGTAAGCAGTACAATTTAGATTTAAACTCATGTCCTTGTTTTTCTATAACACTAAACTTACTGAATAGGTAAGGAAAACTATCCAGTATACAAAATGATTGATGAATATGGGTGGTAAGAGGAAGTGGGAGTGACACACACACACACATACATACATACATACATATATATATATGTGTGTGTGTGTGTGTGTGTGTGTGTGTGTGTGTGACTTGGATTGATGATGGACTCAAAAAAAACTCATGTACAGTAGTTAGTTTTTCCTTGACCATAAGACCTGTGTCACATCTCCATGTCAAAATCTAATTTGATTCCAAAAATTTCACTTTTGTTTATTCTTTGCATGCACTTGCTGAGCAAGTCATGCTCAATGGAAGAATACATACATAGGTAAGATTTATTTCCCTTACCTATTTAACAACACAATAAGTGTCATTCAGATTTAAGCATATAGCTATGTTCTTTTGAACCTGTTGTTAAGCTTTAAGATGCAATTATGCTAAGATGCATTTATAATGGAACAAGAGTTACATGAAAACACTAATCACCAAGACTGAATTGCAAACACTCTTCACTTAAACAATATACTGATTGAAACAATCAATGACAAGACCATTTATGATTATAACAGTATAGATTATTTTCTAAGATCACACTTCAAATACAATAAAAAATTTTGAAAGCAAATATATTGTAAATTCTGAATAAAGAGATTATTCCACAGACCCTATTGTCATCATGTATCCCATGACAAGGTGTTGTAATAGAGTCACTGCACAGCTGAGCACCTGACATGATAGATAGATAGATAGATAGATAGATAGATAGATAGATAGATAGATAGATAGATAGACTTAGAAAATTAAAAAACAAAATATTTTTCATTTTTAAACTTTACTGTAATGCCAAAAACAATATAAGGTATAGTTCAATATGACCAACTGTTATTATATTGTAAAATGGAAGATTTCTTCAAAGCTATTTGCTAGAAGATTTCCTTTTTTTAACATGAAGATCACTAACCAGCACAAGATTAAACCTTAATGTACTGATAATTATGTGATGCACACCATATTTAACACTGATGGAATCTTTGTTGTTGTTGAATATTCTGATAGCATTTTTGAAACTGAGCATTGTTGTCACTTTATGAAATAGTCATTTAAGTTATATTAACACTTGAGGTTGTTGTTGGTTGCCAATCATTAAAACAAATACCAAATCTAAAGACATAGATGATACTAAAGATTTGCTTTTCAATAATACAAATGTTTGACAAAAGAAATATTACCGTATTATAAATAAAAGATGTTTTTGCTAGTAAAGGGGGAGTTACAATGTAGAAAAGATTAAATGTTGTATATTTTACCCATTAATATGAATCTGATGTGTAAGCAGTACATGATTATAATAAGGCAACCATATTTGAAAACTTCATGCAGCATTAAATACTTACATTAATTTATTAAAATTATTGGTAAAACATTCATGCACTTAATATACAGTGATCATACTATCATTTATCATTTATGCTTTGTAAATCACTAAATGAAAAATGTTTATGACATTAATTTTATAATTGCATTTTTTGATTTTAGTCATCACAAGATAACATTACAAAAATATAATCTTTTGATGATATGCATTTATAAAATGAATAAAATTTAAATACCTAAAATGAAATATTTACAGTTAATAAAAATTTCATGTTTATTTGAATTGGCCAAAATTATATTTTATGCCTGACTTATTTACAAACAACGAGAACAAGGGGAGGTAACTTAAATATTTGCTTTGCACGATTTATCTTATCTTCGTTATGGTGCTCATTTTGTCGCGTGGTGATTTTCTAAGCGTGGCTTAAGGCACATGGCCGAAAGTATGGGGCACCCAATGAGGATCGAACTCACTATTCAGTCGTAATTGTTTTAGCGAGATAAGCTTGCTTATTATTACACCACGTCGAAAGGATCACATTTTTATCGTATGATTGTTTGGGACAAATGACGGTTGGTTCTAAAAATCAACAATATGGATGGAGTCTGCGTCATAATTTCTTAAATGTTAATGTCTTCGATCCCGGGTAAAGGCCAGAGTTTCGAATGTTTATTTTCTCATGAAGCAGACCCTCCTTACTATAAACAAATGACTGCCCATGAATTTTAGATTTGGGTAGTAAAAACCAAGCTTAAATGCCATAAGACTGTGTAAAATTTAAGAACACCATGAATTTTGTTTGAATAAAAAGTTTAAAATGATTTAAAAACTAAAATAAGGATAGTACACATAAAAATGTATAGTGGCCCCGCTTTCTCTTACCTCCGATAAATTTTAGTACTTAATAAGCGTAGTAATGCTGTTAATGATTTAAAAAATAAGAGAGGCTGCTTCCTTTAAATGAAAAAGTGGTGAAAGTTCCCGACTTGATAAAAAGAAAAAACAAATAATGTGGCTACTTATGTTCGTCAATATTAAAAACGAATCTTCCATTATCCATCACAATAAAACTGTTTTATTTTAACAGCAGTTATTGTCGTTAATCTTTTATTGCGCTCAATTATAAATTAGAATTAGATATGCTGACAAAAGCATAAAGTACAGGGTTTCATACTATCCGCAGTTTTATGTATCTACTGTAGCTTTTGCAACATCCAATGCAAAAGAAGAGATGTTTAAAGATGAGACTGTAATTGTGTAGAAGCATGTATGTGTTTAAACTTTGCTATATTTATGGAGATCATAGTTTGGAAATCAATTGAGGCATGAAACTGACAGTCACCCTACTGTGCTGATTGATCTGCCCACGATGTCTATAACTATATTTATTTAAATAGACACACACATATGCACAAAAAGTAATGTAAAAAAAAGTTCTTGGTCCAACCCACTTAGTAAAATCTAATCAAACATCAATTTTTTTTCTTTGTAATGTAATCTGACTTTTCAGTGCCTCTTTGTACTAAAAATGTGTGAATTTTCTAAATGAAATTAATGTGCATCCAAAAGTTTCCTGAAACTGGGGAACTTTTCCTATCTTTCTATTTATATGTGTTGTGTTCCTTCCGGACATGACCAATCATAGTGTTCCACAATCTTTTGTTGTCTCTACAATACTTGTTCTCTGTGATACTTGTTCCTCTATCCACAGACTTGCCAAATAGGTTACTCAGTGCTTTCCTCTACCTCTCTTGCCCTTGCTATACCCTGTGAGTGTTAACTTCTTCAAACCTTGTTTTATAATTCATCTCAAAAAAATTTACATATCTCCTGATTGTTATTAAGTTTCTTTGTAGTTATTATTCTCTTTGAAACTTTCTTGTTTCTCACATGGTCTGATGATGATATTCTCCTTTTTATATATGGTTACAAGCTAAATATATTGTAGAAATTTTGGCATCTTTTTATTTTTGTTATATGTTGTTGCTGTGCTGCTATATAAATATAATTATGGGAATGAATGAAAGTTTTGATGCATTTATTTCATAAATCTTATTGGTAAAATCACAGGTTATATAAAAGCTTTTCTGAGATACATACACACATAGAGTATCTAAGATCAAATACATTCTAATACAATTCTATATAAAAGAACATTATGTATCAGTATATTAATTTATAAGAATTTCAACAGAGTAAAATAATTTGTAATGAATTTCTATATGTTTTCATATTTTTTTAAATTGCTGAATATATGATTAGAGTGAATTTGATAGATTTGTTTAATAAACCCTACCTGTGTTATCACAGATTTCATAAACAGATAGTTATATGTAATTATTAGACAAAATAAAGGATAATAAATAATGTGAAAAGTACTTTGAACCAAAACAATGCCAACTAAAACTGATGGACAAAAACAAAACACGGAGCGAGATTACAACATAAAATACTAAATCCAAACTGATGATGTGTGGTAGTTTTATAAGAAATTATTTTTGATCTCTTAAGCATCTGTCAGCTTTCAATAAACCATATAACAACCATCTAGTCATGGACATAATTTTCTAAAGATGAGGAAAAAAAAATAAAATAAAATAAAAAATATATACATATATATATATATATATATATATATATATAATTAATTTTTGTGAACGCATATAACATGGAATGAAAGACATTGCATAGAATTAGTCACTCTTACATAAAGAATATCAAGAAATGGGGGAAATGAGCAATTGAAGCTTCCTGTGTTTTTATTTGTCAGAAACAAATGACATGTGAATTATAAAGATAGTAAAATTCATGCCTTAAAAACTAACTTTGAAAAATAAAAATAAAAGAAAATCAAATCCCAGAAGAGGTTAACTGTTTCTAAGCCAAATTTATATTATCATAAATATAACATTTACTATGTCTTAGTTAAAAAATATAATAGATATAAAAAATATATCCATTAAAAAAAAAATCAGATATTAAGTAAGTTTATCTTAAAGCTTCAAATATAGGATGCACAGTAAAGATTGAACTCACTACAGTAGTAATAGTCTACCTTCCTAACCATTGATTTATAGTGATGGTGTTTTAAGTATTTGCTAATTTTAGTTTTGTCTAGCACAAGATTACAAGAGTGAGGTATCCTGAGAAAAGTAAATTCATTATGCAAGCAAACAGCCTATCTTGTTAACAATTACTCTATTCTAGCCAACTGAGTGATTAGAATATTAGTATTCCAATTATAAAACCCGAGTTCTAATCTCACTATGGTTGATTTGATTTTTTTTTTAATTTCTTCTATAAACTTTAGTAAGATTTATATTTTTTTATTTGTTCTATTTAAAATCAGCTTCAAGTAATAAAAATGGAAAAGAAAGGGAAATGTTTTAGTAGATGGCTTGAAAATTAATGTTGCCACCATATTTATAAAACTGCAACTGAGCTGCAGCAGTTAACAGGTTAAGACTCACTTATTCACTTGAGTCTTGCAGACCCCACTGAGGAATATGAGGTCACAGCTCTCAACATAGTAGACATTGCTGTTGCAGTTTCTGTAGCAAGTTTTTTTGGTTTTTTTTTGGAATGAAGTTGCAAATCCCATGCCCAACAAGTTTTGAATTCTGAGTTCTCATTCTAGACTGGTTGCCAACCAAGGCCAAAGAGCATAGTCTGCCATACTATTTAAGTTATTGCTGGGGAAGGAAGAAAAGAATTCAGATCATTCTCAAAAATATTTTTGTAGAGGTGAATGTAATGAATTTAAGTGGAATTTGACCTCAGCTCACTGATTTATCGTTCCAAGTCTCTAACTATTGAACATCTTATGGGTTAATAATACTCAATAAAATGTCAGATTTATACACAAATGCGTCCTTGGATTTTAAACTCACTCATCTTTAATCTCAAGCAGAAAAGTATTTTTTTAATAAGTCAAACACTATAGAAAAAAAATGAAAAACTCAAAATTAATACATTTATTACACCTTTAAAAAACAACCTGTGCAAGAGAGATAACCAAGGTGACAACTAGTTACAGCAGATAGGAACTCTTTAGTTAGAAAAAAATAATCAATACTTACTATTCACCAAAAAACGCTAATATTTTCTTCAAAGTAAACGTGGAATTATATATATATATATATATATATATATATATTGTTTATACGTTATTTTTATAGGTGCAAATACTTAAGTAAATGCTCTATTTAAACAGTAATTAACAACATTTACCGGACCGAATGTCCAAGAAATTTCATAGAAAATATATGTTCTCTGACAGGAATTGAACCAGTATCCTATACGAAACTGTCATATAGCCTGACATGCTATACCATTTAGCTACAGAATAAGCATCTGGTTAGCAATGTTGAATTACTGCTTTTAAACTACAAATTTCCCATGAATTTATATTTTTAA